TAATTTGAAACTAATATTAATTAATAACAATAATATTAATCAAAATTATAATTGAAAAAGTGACAATAAATTCCTCATAAGTTATTGAACTATCTTTTCAATAAGCTGGTTTATGTTTGCCAAACAATAACTAACATGATGTAACATAGAAACCAACTGATTTACATATAGTACTACTACAAAAAGTCAATATTGTGACTCTAAATAATGTCAATCTATATATTAAAGATATATTATAGAATGTTTTTGACGGTGAAATGGATTGACGATACTACGTAAAAATGATATGGTAAATAATATTAATTTAGAAATAATTATTGATTGGTTTTGCATGTAAAAAAAATACCCGAAGAGATGATTTTATATAAATTATTAGTATTTATTGAATTCAATGTTATATCTAATTATAACAATAACTAGTTGTGTACCTGCGCAATGCGGCGGGAACCATGAATTTTAACGATTTTGAAGTTCCATTGGTTTTATAAGATAACATTTAACGATAATATATGTTACACTTGGTCTTTACATATTAATACAATTTGAATAAATAAGAGTTATGGTTCCAATTACATACTATCGACGAAAAAAATTGTATGACAGTTTAAAATCCAATATATTTAAAATCCAACATATTTAAACGACTCCATATATATGTTCGATTTACACCAAGGCAAAGAACCAAGAAACTTGAGTTTTAAGATAAACACTCAAAACCAATAAAGAAAACTACAAATTTGACAGATCATAAGCCATGAAAAGACAAAAAAAAGATGGGTTTTAGAATGAAATTTCAATTGCTTACCCATTTTTTTTGTCCATAAACTCAGATTAAGGTTGAATTAATACATGTATATATATATTTCAAAAAAACCCAAAAACATATTAATTCAGAACATATTATACAATGCAATAGCCTAACCCCAAAATATATACTATATATAAATAAATAACTATAATAGTATAAATCGTAAATATTAAAAATATTTTTTACAGTATATATAATATATAATAATATAACTAAGTCAAAAACTATTCAATATTGGACTTATTTCGAAGGTATTAACGAGACGATTATAATGGTGTAACTTGTTAAAATAAAAATGTATTTTTTAAACATGTTTATGTATGTTAATTTGATAAAGGTTTAAGATAAAACATTTAAAAGTAAATGACTTAAAATAAATTAATTAACTAATTATAAGGGTATAAAGTGTAAATTTAAAATTATAATTTTAAAAAAATGGGTGAGAGGAGGGGGTGAAAAAGTGTAAAAGTATCTTGGTTATTTAGTATTTTAAAACTTTAAAACTTTTATTAAATTTACTTAATAAAATAGTATAGATATATTGAGAAAGTGGTGCTTATCGAGGTCTTTTTTTATATTTCTACCATAGCCTATAAAATGTTAGGAACAGATCTGAGTCATTGTTATATAACTTATCAAATATGATTATTTTTTCGACAATCATTTATAGTTTAAAGTTATTTTAAATTGTCGACATCATTAAGTTCATCAAATAGTCTTTCTATCTATCTCTCTCTCTCACACACAAATATATATATATAGGAGCGACCAAATAAAAACCACTCCAATTTGTAAAAACCGTAAAAACTACTCTCATCCGTCGTTAATCTTATGAATTTTTT